ACTGTGAATATAGAGCACTGTGTAAGACGCGGTTAGTACAATACTTACAAAGTCTGATAGGGTAACATGTACAGGGGTGGCCAAAAAAAGAGACACTTAGCCCATGGCGCACATCATCGAACTTTTCACAGGGAGCCGATGTTAATGAAAGTTTTACGGCGTAATATTCCTTAGGTGTTCCCCGTAAACAGAAGCAGGCCCTCCTTCACTGCCCCCGCCGTCTTCAGAATATGACGTCATCTGCCGTCACCGTCGAGCTCAACGAGGCTTACCGTAATCGCTCCGGCCTGAAGCTGCTACATAATTTCTTCAATGGATTAACTGTTGAATAGCTTCCCAGAGACATTAGCTGTGACTATGCAAAACCGCTTTTGACCAGCGTTTCAGAGACGTCGTAATCGTCTATGGTACTCGACGACCTCGTTGAGCTCGTACCGTGACAATGTTTCCGTGGGAAAATCTTCTGATGTCGTCGGTGTAGAAGGCTGTTGTGTAGCTTGTTGATAGATTATAACGTGCTCTTCAATATTCAGTTGGGATCATTTGGTTTGGTTTCGCGACGCGTAAATAATTCCGTTTTGAATGTTGAGTGAAGTGTCTCTTTTTTTGGCCACCCCTGTAGAGCGCTCATTTTTGCTCAACTTTTGATCATTGTTAGTTGGCACTCCGGAAACCAGTCGATCGAAAAGTTGAAGCAGGTGCCAAAATTTAGTGAACATGCACAATGTTACAAAACTGAGCTTCCTTTTGGACTGGACCAATCAATCCCTCTCCTGGACAAATTGCTCATGAATTACTAGGATGATATTGTGCAGTTACTCTCAGCTCAATCGAGACAGGTAAGAAAACAGGTAATGTAACGGTAACTTTAGCCAACGTGTATGAACACTATGTAATGGACAGTTTAGTTTCGCACGTTGCTGCGCGCAACACATTATAGAATCTAGTAAAGCTGAAAGAGTTGAGAAACATCGTGTCCTACGGTCAGGTGATACAGTATTGAGTTGCTTCGTGGAATGCTTCAACTGATGGTTCACATACGTCTAGTTTACTGCGGTCTATCGTGGTATTTATGCAGTAATGTGCGGACTGAAGGCTCACGATTTATGTCAATCGTGGCGACGAAATTTGTTGTGCTATCTAGCTCTCACACATGCATTCTACATACATCATCTCTGCTTTTTTGTTTCCTTCAATAGACCTAGTCTTAAAGCTACACAATGTGTACGGTTTTCCTGCTACGCTCTCGCCTTTTCTTCAAAAGAAGTCATGTAACCGTAACAAAATTGGTACTATTCATCCTACTAGTGTAAATAGTCCGATAAGCGGCTGCTTGCGTCCGCATGTGGTTTTCTGTGTGGCCGGAAATTCGTAACTTCGTTCCTACTGGTGGAGGGGTCATTAACCTTTTCCGGACCGCCTGATTTGCTCTCTGTGGCCGCCTGTCACCCATGGGGTGAGAGGGACTCCAAGAGGTGATTTTTCTGTTTTTCGACAAGTCGACAGGTGTTTTATGTTAGTTAATTATCTATGTAACATACTCATATCGTACGTATGAAAAAACCCGAACTTCAATCTCAAACTTGCTCCTAAAACATCTAAAAACTAAATGGACTTCCACTTTGAGTTCAAAGAAAACAGTTATAATTCATTTGAAAACACTTCATACAAAATATTATGACATCAAGTGCACGTCTTATCTGATGCTATTATATGCAAACGTTTCGACACTTTCTGGTGCCTTTTTTCCATTACAACTTGTTTTGAACAATTCTCATTCCTACCTCCCTTTTTCACTTTTATTACACGACGGTTTTCTGTCATATTCACACATATGTACCTTTAAACATCGCAAATACAAGAACGAGGCAAAATAATGGTTTTAATGGAAATACAGGTGAAATATATGGTATTTATGCTCGCCGAGCAGCCCGCGGCGATGAGCATAAAAAGGCGCCGGCCACACGCGCCCGCCACGGGAAAAGTGCGCGGTCCGGAAAGGGTTAAACTCGAAGGTAGCAAAGAGACGGGACCTGGACACTGATAGCAGGTATTAGAAAACGATAAGTATTGAAAACAGCTGATAGCGGGCGTCGAAACGCAAGT